CGTGTCCGCCCTTGGGAAAGCCCACTTTGGTCCGGGCTCTGGAGACATCTTCCTGGACAACCTTCAGTGCTCCGGGGTGGAGCGCTCCCTGGGTCAGTGTGCCCACTCGGGCTGGTCGGAGCACAACTGTGGCCACCACGAAGACGCCAGTGTCATCTGCTCAGGTAGCCCCTCCTCTTTCAGACACCATTGCCAGCCCCACCATGCTTTAAGACCACCCTGCTGGAATTCAGAGCAGGCCAGAGACAGGGACAGGGGTCTCAACCAGGTGGCATTCGGTTTTTGTTTTATCTCTTCTAACTCGGTCAAAAATATAAGATTTTAACTGCTGACCTCCCAGAATAAAACCTTCTGATTTTCTAATTTGGTAGTAAGAATCACCAAAGGTAGGTGTGCTTTGCTGAGCACTGACAAGTGCAAAGAACATATTCAATTACGGGAATTTTTTTTAAGTTTCTTTATTTATTTTGAGAGAGAGAGACAGAGAGAGCATGAGCAAGGGAGGGTCAGAGACAGAGGGAGAGAGAGAGACAGACCTGATGCAGGGCTTGAACTCATGAACCATGAGATCACGACCTAAGCAGAAATCAAGAGTCGGATGCTTAACCGACTGAACCACCCAGGTGCCCCTTTAAATACAGGAGTGGGAATTTTTAAGGAGTTTATCTAAAGGTCTTTCATTCAGAGGCAGTGAGGAGATGTCAAGCTGGACAGACTTGAGTCTGGATCCCAGAGCCGGTGCTGACATTCAAACTGGCATTTGGGCAACACTTAAGCTCTCAGAGCCTCAGTTTCTCCCTCTGTAAAATTGGAGACCGATTGCTGTCTTGCAGGACTGCTGAAATGATTCGAGCTGTCTTTGTAAAGCACGTGCAGATACCTGCCAAAGGGACTGTGCGTTGGCTCCTTTGTACTACCACCTTCCCCACTCAACACACCAAGGGAATCGGTGAATTAAAGTGGCTCATTTTAATCGCCTTATGACATTACAATTTTTTTTAATACTTTGGCTTTAGTTGTGTACAAAACACTAGTAGGGAGTGAGGACGTCACCTCTGGAACGTCTATCAATAACCCTTTCTGACAATGAGATGTCCTCACGAAACTAAGAACTGTAATACCTGGTATGATTTGAAAGATCAGGAACTTGTTACTTGGAGTTGCTCATGTGAGGAGAGGCTCTGTCGGATGTCAGTACCTGCTCCCTGTGACTTTCATGTGAGGTGATACTTAAAAGCTTCGTCTGTTTGTTGGTGCGTCCATCTGTTTGCTTCTTGGCGTCCTGTGATGCCTGGCATGCCTGACCTAGTTGCAACCCCATGGGCCGTATGTTTTTCCTGTTTCCATGTTCTGGAAGATTATTGCCTATCTGAGTTTCCCCCCATGACTCCCCAAAGTCACATTCATCTGCCACAAAATTGGCAGTTCAAGTGATACCCCCCTGGTGGTTTCCTTGCCATGCAGAAGCAAGCCGAGAGAGAGAGAGAGAGAGAGAGAGAGAGAGAGAGAGAGAAGCTCTCTGTTATGGCCTCGGATGAATCCTTCCCCTATCAGATCAATAAACATTTGCAAGGATGTAATTAAAACCTTTGTTTTCAATAGTGGAAGGCAGGATTTTTGAAAAATACTGACATATGTATTCTTTATATAAACAGATGCTGAAGAATCACTTATTAATAGTCCAGGTAGGTGACACTTTTTCTTGACAGGACTCAAATATCTGCTGTTCCTGATTTTTTTTCTTGGGCTATTTATTGTCTCCCAGCTCTAAGTTCATTCTCTGTCTAAACTGCAGAGGTTTTCACACCTTTGGAATTATTATTTATGACTTTTTTACACGTGGTAATGGCTGTATGTGTGTGCGCACATGTGTGTATGTGTGTGAGTCCATACTTTTTAGACACATGCATAAGGGAAATGGCATTTCAGGGTCTGTTGGCATAACTATATGCTTTTCCCTCTGGCTCAAAGGCTTTTCCTCACCTCTTCCCTGGCCCACTCCTTCTCACTGTTTTTGTTTTTTGTTTTTTAATGTTTTTTAATTTAAATTCAATTTAGTTAACATACAGTGTAGTCTTGGTTTCAGGAGTAGAACCTAGTGATTCATCACTTACCTGTGACACCCAGTGCTCATCCCAGCAGGTACCCTCCTTAATGCCCATCACCCATCTAGCCCCTCCCGTACCCACCACCCCGCCAGCAACCCTCAGTTTGTTCTCTGTATTCAAAAGTCTCTTATGGTTTACCTTCCTCTCTGTTTTTATCTTATTTTTCCTTCCTTCCCATATGTTCATCTGTTGTGTTTCTCAAATTCCACATCTGAGTGAAATCATATGATATCTGTCTTTCTCTGACTGACTTATTTTACTTAGCATAATATACTCTAGTCCCATCTTGCAAATGGCAAATTTCATTCTTTTTCGTCACCAAGTAGTGTTCCATTGTATATATATACACCACATCTTCTTTGTCCATTCGTCAGTCAATGAACATTTGAGCTCTCTCCATAGTTTGGCTACTATTGATAATGCTGCTATAAACATCGGGGTGCATGTGCCCCTTCAAATTAGCATTAGGGTAGGCTAAAATTAACAACTCAGGAAACAACAGGTGTTGGGGAGGATGTGGAGAAAGGGTAACCCTTTGGCACTGTTGGTGGAAACGCAAACTGGTGCAGCCACTCTGGAAAACAGTACAGGGTTTCCTCAAAAAATTAAAAATAGAACTACTCTACAACCCAGCAATTGCATTACTAGGTATTTATCCTTCTCAGCATTTTAAGAAGATTCCTTCCAGGTGCCCCATTTGGTCTGTTCATAACATAGCACCTGTTCCCTTCACCGCTTTTGCAGGGTGGAATAAGGCATGGTCCTAGTGTCTGCATGTGATTGAAGGACTTTAGGCTCCCTGAGGGCAGGAACCATATCTCTTGGTTTTATAGCTGCAGCATCAGTGCCTAACAGGAAAGGCAATCAATAAATACCTTTCAAATGAAATTTAACTGGCTGAAGACCACACCCCCTGCAGCTCAGGAACACATGAGAAACATGAGGACAGGTCCCAGGGCTCAAGACCGGGCATGTCCCTCTGCAACCCCATAGTCCTGCCAGCCTCAGAGGCCCAGTGCCGGTGAACCTCAGGTGGGTCATGTGGAGACCACACTCACCAGATCTCTCTCTGCAGGGGACTGGCCAGACCTGAGGCTGGTGGGTGGCTCAGGTCGGTGTTCAGGACGCGTGGAGGTCCTCCACCAGGAGGCCTGGGGCACCGTGTGTGACGACCTTTGGGATCTCAACGAAGCTGAGGTTGTGTGCCGACAGCTGGGGTGTGGATGGGCTGTGTCCGCCCTTGGGAAGGCCCACTTTGGCCCCGGCTCTGGAGACATCTTCCTGGACAATGTACAGTGCTCTGGGATGGAGCGCTCCCTGGGTCAGTGCGCCCACTTGGGCTGGTCGGAGCACAACTGTGGCCACCACGAGGACGCCGGTGTCATCTGCTCAGGTAGCCTCTGCCATCTAGGGCAATAATTTCTAATGTTGTTCTCGAAGACATTTTGAAACTACGCATCCCAGATGGAATTTTCATCCATCCACCCATTCATTCATTCTTGCATGAAATAATCCTTGAGCGTCTGCTCTGCACTAAGCCCTGGGCTCACACACACACTTCAGCAGTACCTGGAAGTCTAGAATGTTCACGTACCCCAGCACCACCCGGGGCATTACAATGCAGAGTCCAGGGCCCCGCCCCCAGAGATCACAATGAACTAGTTTGGGAAAGGGGGCTGGAATCTGCATTTTCTCAAGTCATCCAGGTGATTCAGCATAAGAGGGGCCATGAGTAATCCAGCCCTGCCTGCCGTGGGGCATAGGTAACTCAGCTGCTGTGTCCCACGTCCCTCAGTCAGGGATCTTGCCAGAGGAAGGCTGAGTCCTGTGCCCAGATAGTCCTGTGTCTCCCCTTCAGTCCCCATCTGTACCCTCTCCCCTCTATCTCCCACCCACCTCCTCCACGCTTTGGATTCACTGAAGTAAGCAACCTGTTACCTTTCTTTATGCATTCAGGTGCGGAAGAACTGCCTCCTCCCACCCCTCCAGGTATGTCCGTATCTTTTTCTAGTCTAGACAACTTTCTAATAATATTAATAATATCCAACTTACTTATAAATGCTAAGAACCAGGCACTGTTCTCAGTCCATCATATGTATAACTTGTTTCATCCTCCCGGTAACCCCTTGAGGCAAGTACTTTTCCAGGTAGGTAAACTGAAACATAGAAAGTTAGCAACGTACCCAAGGCTACCCACATCGTCAGTGTTCTTGGGCCCCAGTCTCATTTACCACATCATTTCACTGGCCCTGGCTACACAAAGACAGGTTAAAATGAGCACAAAGATGGGGAGACATTTTGCTCAGATTATGGCTAATCCTGCAAAAAGGAATTTTATATTATATTTTACAGAAGAGACATTTGAGGCACAGAAAGGTTGAGTAACGTTCCTGAAATCATTCAGCAAGTTAATGGTGGAACCGAGTACTGACACTGGTCAGTCTGACCACAAAGTACACGCTCTTGGAAATCTTACGACTTTTGCCTGTTTTCAAAGATTTTGTAATGTAATGATTGAGTGATATTCATCTGTAATAAAGAGATTAGCAAAAACAGACCAACACATGCAATGTAAATTATGAAATGACACTGGAGATAAATGAAAAGGCATTTTGTTTCATTGCAATAGACATTTCTGAGCACTTGCACAGCAGCAGGGCATGATGCTAGGGTTTCTGTATGAATTAATTTATTTAATCCTTGCAGCTAAGGATTAAGGAGAACCAAAGCCTGCCCAAGATAACTTGATTTGAAACAAGCAGAGGGGCACCTGGGTGGCTCAGTCCGTTAAGCATCAGACTCTTGGTTTCAGCTCAGGTCATGATCTCAGAGTTCATGGGACTGAGCCCTACATCAGGCTCCACACTGACAGTGCAGAGCTTGCTTGGGATTCTCTCTCTTTCTCTCTATCAAAATAAATAAACTTAAATAAAAAGAAAGAAAGAAAGTAGCCGAACTGGACTTTACAGACCCCATCTCTTGCCCTTTGAATGAAACTGCCTGCCCCCGCACAGCCTCAGAGACCTTACACAAGTCATGAGGTATTGCCAGAAGCATCCTTCTTGGACACTTCCTTGGAGGAGACCTTGATGTGTTCTGAGTGTCTCGGGGCGGGGGGCAGACCAGCTTTTTGTGTTGGGGTCACAAGTGAGGGGAAAGGGCCATCCAAAGTTAAAAGGCCATTATGGATGGGGTTAAGGGCAGCGGATGTTTAAATGAAGGCCTACCTGTAGTTGTCTCTTTTTCCGTAACTCAGGTAAACTGAAGATTACATAGATGATGGGGAAACGAGGAAGATCGTGTTGAGTGACAGGAACCATTCTGGCTATCTGTTGCTACTCCACAGACATAGTGGTTTAACACAATGACTATTCAGTGACACGTCGTGTTGTTGTGGGTCAGGAATTCGGGCACTGGGCAGATGGGAGACTCTTCTGCTCCACATAGCACTGAGCAGGGTCATTTGGTGCTGTTCACCTAGAGACTGGTCTGGAGAGTCAAGGGCAGCTGCACTCACATGCTTGGTGCTTGGTGGAGACAGCTGGAAGCGTGGGCTTAGCCAGGGCCCCCTTCCTCCCCAGGCAGTCTTGGGGCCTCTTCACACAGTTTCTGCAGCAGCGTAGTCAGACTTCTTATAAGGTGGCTCAGGGTGCCATGAGCAAGCCACTGTTCCCAGAGATAAATGGAAGCTTCCAGTCTCTTAATGCACAGTGTCACCTCTGCCGTATTCTGTTGGGCAAAACAGAGGCCACCAGGGTCAGGTGAGGAGACCTAGATCCCGCTTTGTGACAGGAGGCAGGTCCAAGAATGCATGGCCTTCTTTAATCTGCCACAAGATGGTAGAAATATTCACTCAGCACCGTCAGCCCTTTCTCAGTCTGCACTAAGTACATTGACATTTCAGAGAAAACCCTTTACATTTCACTAGCTTATAGATGAAACTCAGTATTTTCCCCCTGAAAGTCATCATCCTCTCCCTTTTTTTTTCCTTCTAGGTGTTTCCACAGCTTCTCAGGATCATATAACAGGTAGTCACTTGTTTTAAATTGAAATGGTAACCCCATGCCAAGAGAGCCATCACAGCAGATGCTAGGCAGTGTGCCTAGGATGTGGTACAGACAGGCTGGAACAGCATGGGCGAGGGGCTGCTTGTCCACTACCCACGCCAGTCTTGTCATGGCCCCAGCCATGAGAACACCGGGGAAGTCAGGACCTCAGTCAATGGAGCCTCTCAGTCCTCACCATGGCCTTGCCAAAGGGCATTCATTAATACTGCTAAGGCCTGAAATACTGACTTTTTAACCAAAGGGGCAGGCTGTAAAGGGAGTGGACCTGCTCAGGTCAGAGTAGGTAGGTGGGAGGGTGACGAGAAACTAGAAGGAAATGTGGTTCGCCCATCCAGGGGTACCCAGCCTGCTTTCTGAGTACAGTCCTGTAGGGGGCACCCATGACAGGCACCAACTTACCTGTAGAGGTTTCAGGAAATCCAGTCCCAGGGGGTTTCATGTCTGTCTGACCCAGCCCGGTTGTTCTAACTACCAACCAACAGCAGAGTGATGAGATGCCTGGGCACATCCCCACCTCCTGCCATCCGTTGCAGGAAAGACCAGGAGTCTTGGGATTCTGGGAGCATTACAAGTGAGTCGGGCACAAATGGAAAGAAGAAAATTAAGCAACGTAGTAATTTAAGGACAAGGTTAACAACGCATGTTGTGTTTTCAAATTTCCTCTAAAATAACTTGATGACTCTAAGATTTCTGCTTTCTTGTGTGGCCAGCCGCTTTAAGTGTGTGTGTGCGTGTGTGTGCGTGTGTGTGCATGAGTGTGCACGTGCACACGTGTATGTATGCATGTGTACTGATTTATATTAATATGACAACTAATACGGAAGAATTAGAGTTCATTTGTGTAACTCTTATAAATCTAAAAACCTGTACGTTTCAGTCTCAGGAGCTACTAAGTTAAAGGAAACACAATCTACCCAGAAAAAGTAGTGTAGAAGTGGTTGGCAGGGGGTGCCCATCAGAGCATCCTTCAACAGTCCACAATGTCCCCTTTTCTCCAACTCATCAGACCCCAAAGTTGTTCTGGAGCCTCTGGTTTCCCAAACCTTCCCAAACTAACACCTTACCCAGACCTGACAGCCTCTGTCCCTGTGTCCCTCATTCCCAACCCCCCCCCCCATGTACATCCACTCTGCCTCTCTCCCCACAAGCAAGAATCCTTCTGCCATAGAAGAGGAAGGAGATAGTGAACAGACCTGAAAAATACAATATTTTCTTCATCAGATGGTAAGGGGAGAGGAAAAGACAGGGAACTCCCATATATTAATACTTTTCCCCTTTAGAATGAGATTGAATGGACTCTCCTTCCCTGGTGACATTTAGGCTAAAGATCTGTTCAGACAGCCTGGGTGTGTCCACCCAGGTGGACTGCTGCCTGACTCAACCAGACCACTGGGTGTGAGTGGGTCATTACTGGGGTCACACAAATGGGCACATGCTGACATCCTCTTTCCTGTTGCTTCAGGAGGAACTAGCTCTTGCGGAGGGGTCATGTCTAGTGTCTCTGGCTCATTTTCCAGTCCGCTGTATCCAGAAAGCTACCCAACAGACATCCAGTGCGTTTGGGAGATTCATGTGGATAAAAAATTCCGCATAGAACTCATGATTCCAACTCTGAAGTAAGAAAACAAACTTTTAAGAGAAGATTCTCTGTAAATACGAATATTGGTTTGTGACATCAGAATAAAGATATTTCATTTAGACTGAAACGTTTGGCGGGGGTGGGGGAAGCAGAAGAATGCAAAATCCTTCCCAATTTAAGGGTCAAGTTAATTTTGTGATAAAAACTAGAGTTACTTCTAGTTTAAAAAATTCAATAAGTGATTTATTTACATATTTAACTCAACCTTATTATGATAGTTCTTCTTTTGATTTTGTTTTCTAAAGGTGACACCCAATTCCTCCTTATCAGCTTTGCCTTTGTTCTACCATGGGTACCAATACCTATCTTCTTAGACTTCCTTTTTCCTTTATCTAAATTTTCAGCAAACAGTAAGAGGCTTTCCATACACACACTTGACCCACCTGCTCTAGCCCCAGACCTGGCATCTTCTCAATGTTGCCACCAAGTGAAAGGAGGCAGTGAAGGCATGGCCTCATCTCTGACACGTAGGGAATATATTTCTCTGATTCACTTTTTTATCTCCATTTTTTTTATCTCCATGGCATGAAATAATAGCTGACATTTTTTTTAGCGTTGGCTGTGTGTCCAGGCTCTATACAATGTACCTCTATACAATGTACTTGGTATGCTTTCTCATATTCCAGCATCACTGCAGCCCTAAGATATATACCCTTCTCCTCTCCATTTGAGATGAGGAACCTGAGGCTCAGAGAGTTAACTAACTTGCCTGAGGCTAACTGGCAAGGTCTGTCTGATGTCAAAGCTCCAGCTGTTATCCAACACGTGGTTCTATGGGCAGAGTTTGTGCAAAGACCTTCTTTTTTTTTTTTTAATGTTTATTTATTTTTGAGACAGAGAGAGACAGAGCATGAACGGGGGAGGGGCAGAGAGAGAGGGAGACACAGAATCGGAAACAGGCTCCAGGCTCTGAGCCATCAGCCCAGAGCCTGACGCGGGGCTCGAACTCACGGACCGCGAGATCGTGACCTGGCTGAAGTCGGACGCTTAACCGACTGCGCCACCCAGGTGCCCCGACCTTTCTATTTTCAAATTAACTTTTCTCGGAGCCCCTGGGTAGCTGAGTCGGTTAAGCGTCCGACTTCGGCTCAGGTCATGATCTCACTTTTTGTGAGTTCGAGCCCTGGGTCGAGCTCTGTGCTGACAGCTCGGAGCCTGGAGCCTGCTTCAGATTCTGTATCTTCCTCTCTCTCTGCCCTCCCCGCCTCTCAAAAACAAATAAACATTAAAAAAATAAAATTAAATAAAATTAACTTTTTTCTCCCCAAGATTTGGGGTATGAAAAATGTCATGAAATATGGAGGTAGGAAAATCTGGCTGTAATGTTTACATGCTGATCATCAGGGTGATTGGCCTGGTAAGAATTTATTTGTAGTGCATACTAGTCTTTCTAATGTTTCATGTAGACAGTGACTGGTGATTGCTAAGTTGTAGCCATAAGCCTCCCACAATCTTCAGACAAAATAAGACTTCTGTAGTAAGGCATCTGTAGAAGTTAACTGATATTTTATATATCAATATGCAGTTTAAAGTAAATCCAAATATTTAATCCCATGATTGCCATACTTTTTAAGCTTTTAGATCTAGGAAGTTTTAATCTGCCACTAACCCTCCACTTCGATCCCCCCCAGCCTAGAGGATATCCTTGGATGCCCTTACGACTCCGTTGAAATCTTCGATGGCCCCCGGATCGCCTCACTGTCCATGGGGAAGTTCTGTGCCTCAGTAGCTCTGATATTTTTCTCCTCCTCAGACATCATGACAGTGGTCTTCCGAAGTGATTCTATGATCACCAACACTGGCTTTTATGCTATGTTCAACGTGATTCCACAAGGCGAAAGAGAGTCAGGTAGCAAGCTTCAAGTAGGCTTTTGGTCTTTAAAAGACAGAACAGTTTTCTAACTTTGAGGGCTCTTGCTATTAGAAAAGGGCTGGAAATTAAGTTTTTAAAATACCCCACAATTGGTCCCATAAGCCCTACTGTGTGCCTGATAGATTTTTCCCACTAAGAGGGTCACATGGACAATTGAACTAAGGCAGTGAGGTGCAGTTGAAATGACAAGATGATTTGGGGGTGGTGGTAATGCCTGGGAAGACAGAGTCTGGGTGGGGAGGGCAGAAGAGAATGCTAGGGTGAGGGGGTTGCCCCTGCGGAGGGAATGGGAATGGACAGCCTTGCTGAGGAGGTCACATGGGATGGATGACAATGAGGGGGCATTCCAGGCAGAGAGAATAGCAAATATGAAGGCTCTTGGGGACATGCTGGAGAGATAGGGGAAAAGGTCAGTGTGGCACAGCTTGTGCACTCAGAAAGGGAAGGCTGTCCCTGGGATGTCTCCAGGAGACAGCAGGCAATTCGAGCTGGCCACTGCCCGTTGGCCCAGAAATAGCCGTTCCTATTGGGCTTTAGGAAGTCATAGACACCCTGGTGGCCCAGCTGCCTTCAGAGGATAAATCTACCCTCATCCAAGTCATGTCCAAAAATGCAACTGGGGACCCATTTCCCCAGGATCCCAGTACTGTGTCAGAGAACCACACAGCGAGAGCTGCAGAAGCCATGTGCTGGGTGTTGAGCACTGACTGTGCTTTATACTCCCATTCCCACCCACTCATCACTACAGCCCTCTGAGATACATGCTGCTGGAGCTCCCGTTTCACAGATGAGAAAACCGAGGCCCAGGCAGATGAAGGAACTTGTCAAAGGTTACACAACTAGAGAGCAGTAGAGCTGGATTCAAACCCTCCTCTGTCTCACCCTGAAGCCCGCAAGCCCCGCCTATTACAGAATTAAGACAGCCTTACGCTTTGTTCTTGAATTCATGTGCCTTAGCCATGAACATGGGAGCTAGAAATCCTTCCTACTTAAAACTTCCCAAACTCAAAAATAAAACCCTGCTCTGTTTAGAAGATGGACCGGAGCTGCGGCTGGTGGGAGGCTCAGGACGGTGCTCAGGACGGTTGGAGGTCCTCCACCAGGGGGCCTGGGGCACTGTATGTGATGACCTCTGGGACCTCAACGAAGCTGAGGTCGTGTGCCGACAGCTGGGGTGTGGACGGGCCATTGCAGCCCCTGGAAAGGCTCACTTCGGCCCGGGCTCTGGAAACATCCTCCTGGATAACATTCAGTGTTCGGGAAGCGAGAACCACCTCGGCCAGTGCCTCAGCTCCGGGTGGTCAGACCACAATTGTGGCCACCATGAAGACGCCGGTGTCGTCTGCTCAGGTAGGCTGTCCCCCCGTGGCAGTTTCTTTCTGAACTTTCAGCCAGCAACATCTTAGTGATGGATGGCGGTTGTGCACAAAGCAGGGCTAGGGAAGCGGAGGGTGGTGGCCCCGCAGATGAGTGTCCCTTTAGCCAGGTTGACAAAGAATGCTGACAGGCTGACTCCATTCTAAAGACACATGTGCCAGGCCCACATACCTGTCAAGTCCTGTTCTCTGCAACCTCTCCCAAGCCTGAACTGCTTTTCCAGGATCCAACATGCCCGTGTTGCTTGTGTAACACGAAGCTTACCTGCTTGAGATCTGAACCACCACCTGCCTTCATAAAATGTAACTCAGATTTCCTACATCTACCTACTTTTTTTAATTCATGCAGATGCTGGGGACTGGGCTCCAGATGTGATCCCTGCATCCCCAGGTAGGTCCAACACCGTGAACTTCCAGTATCTCTGCAAAGTGAGTAGGAAATCTAATCTCTGTCCTAACCTAGACACTGCTGGACTGTGACCTAGACACTGACTAACTACCCACGGAGCTTTTAAATTCCTGATGCCCAGGCTGCACCAAGACCAGTCATATCAGAATCTCTGGGGTCACACCAGGTCACCGGTAATATTTAAAGTTTCCCATGTGATCCCAACATGCAGCAAGTTGAGAACCAGAGGCTTAGACAATAAGCTCAGAGCCTCATCCCCCAAATGAAATGGCATCCCCAACTCCTCTCTGGACAGCAGAGCAAGGAAGGGTGGGGGGAAGGGGAGAGGTTCTATCACCATGGCTGGGAAGAGGGTCAAGATGGAGAGGAGAGAAGGTAGAAAGTTTTGCCTCCCAGGGACATGTGTTAAAAAACGAAAGCCTGCAAGAAAACACCGATGCATCAATGGCTCGCTCTCCCAGTGGGTCACGAACAAGCTGAGTGTGAGAAGTGAAGCCATTTGGGGCTATTCTGAGGGCCTTCTTTCTGGCTTCACAGACATGGCAGGAACAGAGAAAGGGTATACCTTGTTCTGGTAACCTACCCAGAGTCGATGTGTGGCAGTGATGTCCAAACTCAAGACTCCAGCGGGATCTAAGCACGTGTGGTCCTGCCTCCTACAGCGGCCTACCTCTCCAGGACAGGCTCTAGCTGCCCACTTCCCTTCCTGCTGGCACCCTGGTCCCCACCCAGCCTCCTCCCCAGCCCTGCTCTGTGAAAACTTCCACACTCTGCCCCCACTCCGGGTTTGGATGTGGGGCAGGTCAAGGTCAGGGTGCACCCTGTAGTGTTCGGGGGGTGGGCAAGGTGGCTGGCAGCCTGTCCCTGCTCTGGACTGGCATCACCATGGGACATTTGGAGGGACACTTGGTGGGGGCCTCTTACCCACTCCAGTCCAGGCCCCCAGGGCATCCCAGGTGGGCGCCACCATCCCCTGTAGAAATGAACCTGTGGGAAGGGGCGATTGACTTCCCCACCTCCAGCTGAGGCCCCACATTTTCATTTTGCACTGGGACCCACTAATCGTGCCGCAGCCCAGGAGGGGAGGTAGAGCCTACAGAGCCATTTCTCAGGGACTGACAAGCAGCTACCTCTGCTTGGCGCCCTCTGGTTTTTCCTTTTCTATCCCAGCGAGGAATCTCCTCCAGCCCCGGGCCAGGGAGGAGAACACGGTTTTCAGTTCATCAGACAGCTCTGCGCCACGTCCACTTGCGGTCTAGGGTATCAAACCTCAGAAGCCTTTTCTCTTTTTTCTCTCTGCTATAGTATTCCTTTTCTGAGGCAGAGAGGCACAGCTGACTGAATAAGAGAATGGGTCACGGAATAAAAGAGATTATAGGGGGAAATGAAATCCTTTATGTCTAAATAGTATATACCTTGTAAGCTAACCACTTCTTGATAAAACATTATATATTCTTCTGGACACACACACACACACACACACAGAATAAGGCTTTTGCCATTTAACTCTCTAAGGGAAACGCTGCATGTCAAACATTTTAACAAAAGGGAATTGCTTCTGAGACAATTTTAGGTCATCAAAAAAATGCATTCTGCTGATGTCCAGCACCCTTCCTGGAGAAGGACTGAGAAGGCAGGCAGTGAGTAGTGCCTCTGTCCTCACTGCTCTACACCTGGAGGCAGAGCTGCCCAAGGAGGACAATGGGCATAAAGGAATTCTTAAATGCATCTGACCCATTTGCTTCAAACTCTGTGCCCGCCAACCCCTAGTGTAAGACTCCAGCAAGTACCAGCTTCCCAATGGACAGGCTTTCAAAATCTGCCTTCGGCTCACCAGGCACTGGCGATTAAGGATGCATCTAGAGGGGCGCCTGGGTGGCTCAGTCGGTTAAGCATCTGACTCTTGATTTCAACTGAGGTCATGATCTCACATTTTGTGAGTTTGAGCCCCGTGCCGGGATTCTCTCTCTCTCTCTTTCTCTCTCTGCTCCTCCCCATTCATGCTTTCTCTCTCTCAAAAATAAACATTTTTTAAAAGGACACATCAGAATGTAGAAATATAGGCCTCCTGGAAATCAAAGCCAAAAGGACACAGGAAAGGAGGAAGCTCTCCCACTGAGGGTCATCTATTTCAACGTAATTCTTGTCCGACCTGCCCTCCCCTGCCCGGGGCTCTCAGCCATCTGGTTTTTGTCCCTGTGCATTTCTGCACACTCTGCAGTGACATGCTCAGAAGCCCAGTGATGTTTCTGTGGGTGATGCAACGACTGATCAATCTCAGGACAGCCCTGGGGTTGGTGGGCCCTAACACAGAAGAGAAAATAAGTCATGTAGCTGGGTGCTATCTGTGATTTCCTGGCGATTTACCAAAAGAAGGGGAGAGACCACATCCCACGTTAGGAGAGAAAAGAGAAATGAGCGTGTGTGCCCACACCATGCTTCGAGACTCAAGCAGAGTTACAGGTTCACTCATTCGTACCTAAATATATGATGTTTTTGTGATGCCTCTTTCCTGATTTTCTTTGGTTTTGGTTTTTGCAGCTCCCATCCCTCAAGTGCCTACACCACGAGGTAACTCTCTTTTCATTGAAAGTATAACCTGTAAAGGATAGAATCACGTTGATAACCTGTAAAAGCAGAATGGATGTCTGTCTGCTCTGGCTACCTGAGGAGAAGGAATTGGTGGGATGGAGCCCTCACGAGTGCATGGATTGTCTACATCTGAGTTGAGCTGTTTTGCATGGCAGGAAGCTGGGCAGAGCATTAATGAAATTATTGGCTGGACACCCCACACCTGCCACATACATGTCCCACGCCATTTCCAGTCTCACCTACAGTCTTAGGGTCCTGCTCTGGTACAAGTCACACCCCTCATTCCCTCTCAGGGGTGCACACACTGCAGCCAAGCCACAACTATGCTATCACCATGATCCCTTCCCATTTTGTGACTCACTGTTGAGTTTGATGGAATCCTGGATTCTACTCCTGGGAAATGCCAGGTGCATGCCGGAAGAAGCCAACCAGTTGTCTCTTGTCTGCCCACAGGAGGAAGTAACTCTTGTGGAGGAGTCATTTCTGGTCTCTCGGGCTCCTTCTCCAGTCCTTGGTATCCAACAAACTACCCCACCGACGTGGAGTGTATCTGGGTGATACACGTGGCTGAGAAGTTCCACATAGAACTGGTGATCCCAAGCCTGAAGTAAGCAGCTTTGCCTTTTTCTACACCAAAGGCCAGATTAGCTTTGAATCCATGCTTTCCTTAAGTAGGTGGACTTTCTGCATATCTAGTCAACTCAGCTCAGTTTTGATATAACAAAAATGTCAAAAATCAGATAATAAACAACAGAAATGTGTTTCTTACAGTCCTGGAGATTGGAAAGTCCAAGACCAGCATTTAGTGCCTGGCGGGGCCCTGCTTCCTGGTTCACAGCTGGTTATAGCTTCACAGTGGCTTCACGTGGTAAAAGAGACAAGGGAGCTTTCTCAGGACTCTTTGTAAGGGCACTGATCTTACATTGCGAAGGCTCTGCCTTCCTGACCTAATCACTTCCCAAAGGCCCCACCTCCTAATACCATCCTGCTGGGGGCTAGGTTTCAACATATGAATTTTGAGGGGACACAAACATTCAGCCTGCAGCACCGTGTGACACGTCCTTTCACATTTTAGGTGAAAATAGGTCTGGTCATCTGAGCTTAGGAGTCTTATAATCATTGAGCTCAGCTCCCTATGCACTGGAGAACACCCCAAACACCCACGAGCATCCCTGACACCAGACCACCAAGGCAGCGTCATCTGGGGTGGCCCACACACGAAGACCTCATGAACCCTCCACTCTCAGCCAGCTCCACTGGGGACACTGCTTCTTCCTTGGGCTGAGCCCAAGTTTGTTCTTCTTCATTCCCATTTTCTGAACTTCATTCTTGCCTCTAAGGCTACGTAAAACATGTCTGCTTCCTCTTCTTCAAGAATGTCTGTCGTGACCCTGCTAAGAGTTTTCTTTCGCAGATTAAATAGACTCCATTCATGCATTCTTCTTAGGCCCATTGTACTTCCTGCTTCTTTCTCTGACCATCATCCATTTTTAAAGGAATTTCTCCTATTTTAATGCATATTTATATGCATGTATATATACATACATATTCACATATACATGAGTGACTTTTTAATGCAAATATTGCTTTTCCTGATATTGTTTAACCTGGTTTCCGCTTTCTACACTGGGTCCCAACTGGGTCCTTCTCTCTTCCTGACTTTGTCACAGTCTCTGCCAGACCTCTGCCACTGCTTTCCATCTGTGTTCGTTGGCCTCAGCAGTCAAGGAGCTGAATGGCTAAATGCTGCCTTCAAATGGGAAATGGGTCAGCAGTGGAGTGAGGGATGCATTCGATTAGCTTTACCTGATGGCCAAAATTCCTTTCAAATGGGGGAGAACATAAACCAATATCAGGGAGCATTGTATATGGTGAACAAAATATACTTATCATTCATTCATTCGTTCATTCATTCACTGCACACACATTTACTCATTTAAAGCAGTGTGAGAAGATTTGGTATGCTATATTCAAATCTATGGAATCCATAGTTCTATTCTTTGGGGGCACAGAGTATCATTTTACCACTTCTGGAAAATGGTTATTCCAAACAGCTGCAGTGGCCCACTCTCCCTGCAGTCTCAAAGCTGCTGTCCCAACATAAATTTCCTGCTCTAATTTCAGAGGGTACAAATCAAGGAGCTGCTTAAAGTGTTACCTAGAGCCAAAGCGTAGGCACTGACTTTCAGGGTTTGATGTTTTTAAGACTAGATTTCTCGATATCTGTTTTTTGTGTCTAAGGACATGAAGTTATTTAGTTTGCTCCAATGAGGCTCCACTAGAAATGGTAGACCCCACAGGACATTCGTCTGGGCCTGGAGGTATCTTCTATTGTCTCAGTTGCGGGCGTGGGGTACCACTGTCACATAGGGCTTGGAGGCCAGGGATGAGGCTGAGTGTCCTACCATTCACAAGACAGCCCCCCACAGCAAGAACTTCTCCAGCCCCAAATGTCGATGGTACTGAGAGCCCCTGATTGCAGCTTTAGTTTTTTTTTTTTCTATTTCAGCTCCTATGGAAACCCGCTTCACACTCGATTTGCAAAAATTATATCCATATTTAAAATGTGCCATTTCATTCTTGCTAAGTGAAGTGTGTCTTGTCTTCCACTGAAATTATTTCTCAGATTATGGTTTCATCTGTTACTGTCACCCTATTGTCACCTTACACACAAATGTTATCATTTTTTCTTATCTTAAAGATAAGAGGCACTTGGCTCTTACTCCACTGGAACAGGTGTGCTCGCAATAAACAGGCTTTCAAATTTGGGAGTCTGCGTACACTGGGAGGTATCCATTGTGCGTGTATTGTGCAACAGGCACTTACAACACATGCCTTAGGGGCCACTTACAGCTGTTGGAATGCCAATGTGCATACCTCCCGTGTTTATCATGTTAGATTAATGTTGATATTCTTTAAGGAATATTTGTTGAGCCTGCTTTCATGCAGACTCTGGTCTAGGCACAGACTTCTAGTGGCAAACAAGACAGACAAGATCTCTGTCCTCATGAAGTTCATATTCTAGATGGGGAGGCAAATAGTACTCAAATAAACCAGTAGCTCAAGGACAATTCCCATCAGTGATAAGTTGATAAATGCTATGAAGAAAAATATATATACCTAGATTGTAATAGGATAGAGAAGGGGTGGCTGGGCAGATGGGGTTTGGTGGGATGGTCAGGGACAACTTCTCTGATCATCCAGGTTGGAACCAGGCAGTTTGGGGCATGGAAGGAGAGAGTCCTACTCAGCAGGCCCTGGGGGCTTATTGACAGCAGGTCAACATCTGTCCCTGCTCCAGGTCCCACTGAGTGTTCTACTCAATGAGACACTAGTGGACACTTGCCCACACCCCCAGGGAATGTCAGAGTTTGAATAGAGTCAGGGGACATTCAGGAGGCACTGGAGGTAGAGAGGGAGCTGATGGGAAAGATCAAAAGCCAAGGTACCAGATGGGGGCTGCTGAAACAGAGCATGTGAGACACAGCACAAGGATGACTGACCTGGGCCGGTGCCCACAGGGAAGGACAGAAGGGCAAATTCAAGCCATACTGAAGGGGTCAAGTCCACCAGTGGGATGTGTGGTTAAAAGGAGGCAGCAGTGATGATTGCAGTTTCTGGCTGGATACAGTACAAATGACGCTTTCATTTAAGACTTTTCTGCAGATTTCCTTGAGGAGATTTGTTGTGCCTTTACCTCCTCAGATTAGAAGACATCTACGGGTGCCCTTATGACTTTATTGAAGTGTTCGACGGACGGCAAGTTGCCTCACTCTCCAAGGGCAGATTTTGTGCTGGGGCAGAGCTCACCTTCCTCTCCTCTTCAAACATCATGACTGTGGTGTTCAGAAGTGATGCCATGATCACCAACACAGGGTTTTCTGCTCTGTATAATGCCATTCAACAAGATGAAAGGGAAAGTGGTAGGTATCCTAATATTCACCCTGGATGGAAGCTAGATCTAATTTGTGTCCTTTCCCTTTAAGAGAGGAGATGCTTTCTAAATCTGACCTGCAGAGTCCACCAGCATTAATGCCATCCTGAGTGACGTCCACTCTAACAGTCCCCAGACAATCCCTCACCCTGCTCTGCCACTCACTGTCCTTTTCCACCACCAAAACATCCTGGCTACAGAAACAGGTGGCTGAATCTCATATCTTGCATTGACTGTGTGTGTAGATGAAGGACGCAAATGAAGATCTTTCTTTTCCAAAGGAGGGCAGTAGGGCCGATCCTTCTGGAACAAAGCTACCTCAAACTACAACTACCAGTCCACCTGATTCCAGGTGAATTCAATACAAAACCACCCAGAGCACTTATACAGACTTCTTAGGATGTGGGGAACATTCCCGAGCTCTCAGTGGATTATGCTCAGGGTGACCATGTAACTTATCCTCCAGTCCAGATACTTTTGAGAATTTAAAAGGGACTCTGAACTAATTAACAGGCATTACTTGCTCTACGACAGTTATAAACCAGGACTATTCCAGGCAAAGCAGGACATAAGGCCACCCTACTTAGAGTCTCATAGCCTAATACAGAAAAATGAGCCCAGGTGCTGAGCATTCCTTCTCTAACTGCAGAAGGTCCTAAAGTTTTGGAGACAGCACCACAGCTCAGAAGCCTCTGTCTTCCTGTCCCCCAGGTGCCTCCCTGAGACTGGTGAATGGCAGTCACAGGTGTGAGGGCCGGGTGGAGGTCTTCTACAACGGCACCTGGGGCACAGTGTGTGATGACAGCTGGGACATAACAGACGCCAGGGTGGTGTGCCAACAGCTTGGCTGTGGTGAGGCCTTGTCAGCCCCAGCTCAGAGCTACTTTGATGGAGGCACTGGCCACATCATGCTGGATGATATGCAGTGCATGGGGAACGAAGCCAGGCTGTGGCAATGCACGCACAATGGATGGTTCTCCCACAACTGCGGGCACCATGAGGATGCCAGCGCCATCTGCTCAGGTGAGCCCCCAGGACACAGCCACCCTCAGAGACAGTCTTGCCCACCTGCAGCTTCTGGGAAGGGAGAAATCAATGCCAGCAATTACTCAGAAAGGAAGCCATGGCTTCAAGCCATCTTTTTAAAGTCAATTTGTTTAAGAGTTAGTGTCCTTTCTCTTAAATTATTGTGTCTGTAAACTGTTCAAGTTTCCCCCTTAAAAGTTGTGATAATTAGATAGAGGATTTGTGTCATCAGACATCCCAGTCCTGGATAAGCATGCCACAGGTGTTGGTGACAGTCCACTGCCCCCTGACTAGGACTAGCAGCTGCTGTCCAGAGTGCTGAACATGTGCCAGGCTCAGTGCCGAATCCAGCTCATTCATATGCTCACTTCATGTTCACAATCTCTAATAAGAGAGATGATTGCATTCTCATTTTATTGATAAGGTAACAATGGCATTGTCTCGATGACATGCAGGCCCATACTCTGTTAAGTATTGCCCCCAAGGTACTGTACGAAAGACTGAGCTTGGCTCTGTTACTAATGTTCCTCCAGCCCTATAACTGACCAAAAGGAAATACATACCAACTATTTTAATTGCTTTCAATTTTCATACTTACAGCAATTAGATGAACCATCATGAAATTGAAAAGCAGAGTGTTCCCCCTCATCCAGTGGGCCCTGACATAGGCTGCCAATCTTTAAACAACGTCGATGGGTTTTTATACACACTCGCAACTGCCCAGAAAGAATGTGTTTGATCCTTAAACAAAAAAACAAACAAACAAAAATAGTACCTGATTTTCTTTTATCAATTACATGACTATCCTACTTATTCTCTCTTTGGTCTTTGAGTAGGTGTTGATGGCAGTCCAAAAGTGGGACCAACAGGTATTGTTCTTCCATACATTTCAACTGCTCACCAGGCCCCTGAAACATGTGGTCCTGGCCACTCTTGAATCCTGTAATCAGGGCACAGTCGACAGCATAAGCCTTCTGTTGCTAATGAACAAGAGCGACGCATCCCGTTAGTGTTGACAAAATGGCAGGGCTGGGGGCCTGCAGAGGGTGGGGAGAGGGCCGGGGGTAGAGTTCAGGTTCACCAGAAGTGTAGTATCTGGGTCCCAAGGATGCCCTGAGTTGGCACCTGCAGTGAGAGAGAGCTAGCTGCTTGCAGGGATGATC